GGGAGAGAGAAATTGAAGGAATTGCCTACTTCAAGATTAAGGAAATGTGTGCAAAATGGCTTGAAGTGCAAACCTTTTTTGATGAAAATCACCCTCACACAGCTATTGCAAGCCGTGCTGGTGACTGTTACAATGACAGTGTTGTGAACCACTTTAGACAAATCATAAAGGAACGAGAGGTACAGGCCACTATGGACAGATATGTTGTGCGAAAGAAGTCCAGTGACTCTGAAGCTGGTCCTAGTGGCATTAAAAGAAGAAGGGAAGTAACCCCAGAAAAGGACTTGCTACCTCAAGTCCTAATGGAAGGGGATTCCCCTTCTAAACACTAACACACTCTCTCCCCTCCTCCCATCCCATCAATCATCACCAGATCTTCAATAAAAGTAAGTGTCATGTAATTGTGCATGCCTTTTTCAGTTTGTGTGTACTAAAATTAACATTTTTTTGTGGTAAAAAAAATTTTTTTTTCATACTTTTGGGTGTCTTGCACGGATTAATTTTATTTCCATTATTTCTTATGGGGAAAATTCATTCGCATAGCGAACATTTCGCATAACAGCCAGCCCTCTTGCACGGATTAAGGTCGCTATGCGGGGGTCCACTGTATTACTAAATTTAAAAGGTGAAACTTTCGTTTTTCCTTTTGGGCCACCCCGCCTTAGTGGGATACGGCTGGTACGTTGAAAGAAAAAGTTGAAGTCTGTTGAGTATACCTGGTACAGTGTATGGTAGAGTTATTATTGAAAGAATTAAGAGTAAGACGGAGAGTAGGATAGCAGATGAACAAAGAGGCTTTAGGAAAGGTAGGGGGTTAGACCAAGTGTTTACAGTGAAACATATAGGTGAACAGTATGTAGATAAGGATAAAGAAGTTTTTGTGGCATTTATGGATTTGGAAAAGGCATATGACAGGGTGGATAGGGGGCAATGTGGCAGATGTTGCAGGTGTATGGTATAGGAGGTAGGTTACTGAAAGCAGTGAAGAGTTTTTACGAGGATAGTGAGGCTCAGGTTAGAGTATGTAGGAGAGAGGGAGATTATTTCCCAGTAAAAGTAGGCCTTAGACAAGGATGTGTGATGTCACTGTAGTTGTTCAATATATTTATAGATGGGTTTGGAAGAGAACTGAATGTTAGGGTCTTGGCAAGAGGTGTGGAGTTTAAAGATAAAAAATCAAACAGAAAGTGAGAGTTGTCACAGTTGCTCTTTGCTGATGACACTGCTTTTGAGAGATTCTGAAGAGAAATTGCAGAGGTTGGTGGATGAATTTGGTACGGTATGTAAAAGAAGAAAATTAAAAGTGAATATAGGAAAGAGTAAAGTTATGAGGATAAAAAGATTAGGTGATGGAAGATTGGATATCAGATTGGAGGGAGTATGGAGGAGGTGAATGTATTCAGATACAGTGGACCCCCGCATAACGATCACCTCCGAATGCGACCAATTATGTAAGTGTATTTATGTAAGTGCGTTTGTACGTGTATGTTTGGGGGTCTGAAATGGACTAATCTACTTCACAATATTCCTTATGGGAACAAATTCGGTCAGTACTGGCACCTGAACATACTTCTGGAGTGAAAAAATATCGTTAACCGGGGGTCCACTGTATTTAGGAGTGGACGTGTCAGCAGATGGGTCTATGAAGGATGAGGTGAGTCATAGAATTGATGAGGGGAAAAGGGTGAGTGGTGCACTTAGGAGTCTGTGGAGACAAAGAAATTTGTCCGTGGAAGCAAAGAGGGGAATGTATGAGAATATAGTTGTACCAACACACTTATATGGGTGTAAAGCATGGGTGATGAATGTTGCAACAAGGAGAAGGCTGGAGGCAGTGGAGATGTCATGCCTTTGTCATGTACTTTGCTACGAGTTTTTTCTTTTATTGTGTTATCACAGGGCTGGCACTAGAAACTTTCTTTGGGCCCATGGTGGCTTATTTAGCAGTTACAAACACTAAAAACAATGGAATAATACAAAATATATCGCATGTACGCGTGGAATTGTCCTCCCTAGCTTGTAAACAATGGCACACTACCTTGTACATGGGCTAAGGCCGCGCAGACACGTTCGGGACGAATGTCCTTTACTGAGTTTTTCATAGTTAGCCGAGCCAATATTTTGATGCAAAAATGCATCGGTATCCGATTTTATCACTATCCGATAGCATCGTTAACTGAGGGTCCACTGTAAACTCGTGCTAAGTGACGGTCTACTGTATTTCATGTAAAAAAATTATTTTGTTTAATATGTTTGGGTGTCTGGAACAGATTAATTGGATTTCCATTATTTCTTATGGGGAAAATTAATTTGGATTAAGTCAGATTCAGTATAAGACACTCTCTCTGGAATGGATTAATTACGTTATCCGAGGGTCCAGTGTATATTGCGGAGACGAAACCCTCAGTGGACACCGACACACCTCCTTCTACCCCTTCTTTTTCACGACCCTCACAACAATCTTTTGTTTCATAACATTCTGATTCCTCCCTGCTTACATGCTTACCATTGCCTCCACAAGTCGACTTCATTGACCCTACTAGCCCATAGATTTTATTGTTTCTTATTGTTGACATACCTGGAATATTCATGGCCTTAGGGGTAATCGGGGAGAACTCCATGAGTTGCTTTCCCAGTTTTCCCCAATATGTGTTGGGTTACAAGAGCCCAAAATTCGTTCAGCTGTTATTCATCCCATTTTGGGTTATGTCCTGTTACGTTCTTCTGATCCCTTTCCTGATGAATCATTTAATGAGAGTGCGATTTTTGTGCATGTTGGTATACTGTATCAACAAATTTTTGTTCACTCTCTGCTACATTATACTGGAGCGCATATTTATTTACATGGATGGTATACAGTTTGCTCTCTATATCTTTCCCCGTCCTGTGCATTCTGTATCTCGGATGTTGCATTTTTGATCTCTTCTCTACCACTGCCCATCTTGTTGTTAGGTGATTTTAATGCTCGCCACCATCTGTGGGGAGGGTCCCATTGTGACTCTCGTGGTGATCGGTTGAAGACTCTTCTCGCTTCTCATCATCTTTATGTTTTAAACACGGGTACTCCTACCCATTTTGACTCTCGCACTCAGTCTCTCACATTGATCTTTCTATCTGTTCCTCATCAGTTGCATTTTATTATGCTTGGTCTCTTCTGAATTTACACGACGGTGATCACTTTCCTATTCTTCTTACTTCTTCTACATGTTCCCGACTGCCTCGTAGCCCTCATTGGCAATTTATACCACATCTCCGCAATCCTTCCATTTATAGAATGGTCACTGATATTAGTAGACATTATTTGTTCGCCGCCCGTTTGCTCCATCCCTTCTCTCTTCGCCTACGCTCGCTCTTGTCTTCCCTCCAGTTACCACCTTTATATGTTCATGTAGCATCTCACTTTTCCCTACCCCCCTGGGAAGTTCCAGCTGTTCGGGTCTGTTCTTTCTCACTCCCTTGCTCGAAAGCCCAACTGCCTACGGTGGCTTCCCGCTCTCTTTTTCTTGACCACTTCCACTCCCATTCTCATGCCATCGCAGTGTACACAGATGGCTCTAAGTCTTCTGACGGCGTCGGATTCGCAGCAGTGTTTCCGGACAGCGTCGTGCGAGGGCATTTACTATCTTCGGCTAGCATTTTTACTGCTGAATTGTATGCCATTCTTGCAGCACTTATTCATATCGCATCTATGCCTGTGTCATCATTTGTGGTTGTCTCAGACTGCCTTAGTGCTCTACAGGCTATACGGAAATTTGATACACCTCACCCCTAGTTCTCCGTATCCAACTTTGGCTATGCCGTATCTCTACCAGGCATAAAGATATTGTTTTTTGTTGGGTCCCTGGTCATGTTGACGTACAGGGCAATGAATAGGCAGACACTGCTGCGCGCATGACCTACCAATTTCATATAGAGGTGTTCCATTTTTGGACTATTTTGCTGTAATAGCTACCCACCTTCACACCCGTTGGCAACAACGTTGGTCAACTCTGCTCGGTAACAAACTTCATTCTATTAAACCGAGCATAGGTTACTGGCCGTCTTCTTGTCATCAGTGCCGAGGTTGGGAGACTACTCTCTCCCGCCTTTGCATTGGCCACACTCGTCTTACTCATGGGTAACTCGTGGAGAGGCACCCTGTTCCTCTTTGTCAGCAGTGTCAAGTTCCAGTATTGATTAGCCACATTCTGTTAGACTGCCCTCTCTATCAACGAGCACGCAGAATTTACCTCCGTCGTCGTCTCCGCTCTACTACTCTCTTTTTACCTTCCCTTCTTGCTGATGGACCCTCCTTTAATCCTGACTCTATCACTGACTTCTTAACAACGACTGATTTACTCCACAAACTCTGATGATGATACCTTTCGCACTCCCCTCAGCCCTTTCTACCTCAATCTCTTGCTGTCCTCTACCCTTTCACCATCCACTGCCCCGCTGTTCTCCGTAACCTATTACTCATCCATCTCCCTTTTGCCACCTGATACCCTCGCTTCCTTATTGCTCTGCAGCACTGTATAGCCCTTGTGGTTTAGCACTTCTTTTTGATAATAATAATACAAACTGGATGTGGTAAAAGGGGAGGGTTGGGAGAGGGAAAAAAAAGGGGGGGTATGGGGAGGAAGGGAGGACTGGGGGGTACTTAGACTTGGTCTAAGGAAGGAGACTAAAGCATTTTATTCCTGAGACCAAGAGCCTCTTCGCCATGTCAAGGAGCCCCCCCCCCCATCGAAGAGGTAGAATTTCAGAGAGGGAAACCCTTAAAGCAGGAAAGGATTGAGAGAGCAGGAATGGGGGATAATTAGGTTCAGTCGGAGGAAGACCGAAAGATCCAATTCCTCAGACCAAAAGCCTCTTTATTACTACAAGGAGCCCCTCTTGACAAGGTGTGGGTATATGTTGGACATGAAGTATGGAGACGATGGACACAAGATGACTCGCACTTCTAGTATAGTACTTAACTTTTTCACTGATAGTGATGGAGGTCAAATGAAAGATCTGCATACAGTTCGATATCTTTATTATATAAAAGACTAAGAAATTAACAAATACAAAAATTAGAAAGCAGACAAATGTATTTAGTGTATAAAATATACCTCAATACTTCCAGATCAAATAATACCCTCCCACTTCCAGCAACTGTAGTGCTTCAATATAAATATAATTATCAATGCTCAAAAGTATAAATGTATATATAAACATTCAGCACTTTGGAAAACTGATAATTTCAAACAGCATGTCCATACCCCAAGGCCATGATACATGAATAAACATTTTACTACACTCTTCCTTCAATGAACTGAACTTTTCCTCCTTATGCTTGGGTAAAAGCAGACTGCCTCCCTTTTCCCAGGTGCTGTATGACTCGTATAGGTTTACAGCACTGCCCCATATAATAATAATACTCTAGATGCTTCGCTTAGTATATTTGCAAAAGCAACTTTTTTTTTTTAAGCAACTAGGTTGAACAAACCGAGGACAAAAATTGAGGAACATAGCTGATCTACTGGCTCATGCTAGGAATGTTGTAATCACACCCAGTCATTTTTTTTCTTTTTTAATGAGTTTTTAAATTTGCCCAAATTATTTTTAACCCTCTCACTGTCGGTCCTGTAATATTACAGCTTGCAAGCCAGCATCGGTCCCGTAATATTACGCCAAAATTCTAGCGGTTTCCAATTTTGCGGGAGAAAGCAGGTAAGCCTTCATGCGAGAGAATGGTTCTGAGTGGTCAGTGTGCACTGTATTTATATATAATAATAATAATAATAATAAAAAAAACTGCAGCATGCAGTGCATGAAAAAAAAAAAAAAGACCGTGTTTTTGGTTTAAAGCACTGACTTTGCAGCGTATTTTTGAATGGTATTTATGGTTGTAGTCTCATTTTCTTGGTTTCATTTGATAGAATGGAGGATATATTACAGAAACAGATGATTTTGAATGATTTACAGAATAAAAGTACCTTGAAACCGAGCTCAAATGTAGTGGAAATGTTCGATTTTTGCCGATGTTCAGGAGTAAGCAAATCACGTCGCGCATCCAATACACATCAACTGGTGAGTCTAATATGCTTTCACAAATGTGCTATTATTTATACCATTTTTTGAAATAATGCAGTAGTCTGCATAACAGTAAATATTTTTTGTGAATAAAAATCCAAAATGGAAAGCAAGTGTAATATAAGAGGGGCCTGGAGACGTGACTAATGAAGAGAAAATATTTAGTGCTAGGAATGTTTATATTGTCAATTCTGGACCCTATTTTGAAATTGGCCTTTCATGAATTGTGTATGAAATTGGCCAAATTACCAATTTCTGATCACTTTATTGGGTAGTTAAAATCAGTAAATGGGCAGTTTCTTGTATTCAATCGACAGAACAGATGGAGTTCTGGGGAAATAGCTATGAGTTTGGTCCACTGAAACAAAGAAATTGGGCAAAAATAGGGCTCAAAGTGGGCAAAATTGTCGATGTGTAAATATCGCAGAGACCACTAACCTCGCAAGAGCATAATTCCACAAGTCTTCCATCCAATTTCATACTTTTTGTGTCATTACCATTGGGAAATGATTCTCTATCATTTTACTGAGAGCAAGTTTCTGAGCATGGGTCTCGACAGTGAAAGGATTAAGAAATAAAGAAACACTGCAGTAGGCCTACTAGTACTTGTTAGGCAAGTCCCACTTATATTTGATGTTAGCCAACATTTTATCTTCCTTGACATTATTTGGCAGTTTGTTCTTAGTTACAACTACTGTTAAACCAGTGCTTTCTTATATCCTTTCTAGTTTATATTTAACAACAGTGTGCCTGCTTGAAGACGTACCTAATTTAATTGCCTTAAAGGCCATTTCAAGGGCAACTCCATCTCTTCTTGATCTCTTGTGCAATCTTGGCATAGCTGTAAAATTGTGTGGTACTCTAGATCTCTCTGGAATGAAAGAAAGCAGTTTAGGTATTTCAGGGAAGTTCCATATTTCTTAGTAAAGAAAAGAGAGAGAAAGAGAAACTTAGGATTCAAACTGTGGGATACTCAAAACATTTGTTCACGTGGGATACCTTGGACAGTTATTAATTTTCAATCATATAGAAATTCAGTGTAGTTACATTTGCAAAGGCAGATTCCTCTGTAAGACAGGTACAATAAGACTGAACTAATATTTATAATATCTGCAAGAAATACCCAATATACAGTGCTAGAATTTATGAAGTCTCCAAAAACTAAATCTGAATTACAATAGTTGATCAATCTTACCTAAGAAAAATATCATGTGGATTAGCTCCGACAGCGATCATGGACGATGATGTGGAAACCTGTATCTAGTACTCAAGCTTTTGTGTTTAGTTCCCTTACAACATCTCAATCCAATGTTAAGAGGGATCCACAATGGAAACTTTGTTAGAGATTACACATCCGGTGTACAGTGGACCCCCGCATAACGATTACCTCCGAATGTGACCAATTATGTAAGTGTATTTATTTAAGTGCGTTTGTACGTATATGTTTGGGGGTCTGAAATGGACTAATCTACTTCACAATATTTCTTATGGGAACAAATTCGGTCAGTACTGGCACCTGAACATACTTCTGGAGTGAAAAAATATCGTTAACCGGGGTTCCACTGTATTTATTTTCCTAAAAAGCATTAGCCTATTGAAAAAATATTAAGGCCCAAGGAATTTTGGAAGCAGTTTATGGTTCCACATCTTATAACTATGTAATTGTCATGTACCATAAATCATCCAACTCCACCATCTACGATTGTAGATTTGGTTGGTTACCAAATTACTCACTTTTATTTCACCCTTGGATGAGCTGGGCATGCAAGATTACTGTCGGCAACAGGTTACAAAAATAAAGCAATAGTATTTGGGGGGTTTACCACCATTAATAGTAAATTTTAAATTTAATTTAGTGGAAAAAATGGGTAACTTACTTCAGGTCAGGTGTCAAGCATCAGTCAGCAGTCTCAGCTACACTAAATCAACTAGTCATTGGTCTTTTATGTTCACTTACCAAGCATTGGCTTGACTTGCATCATGCTGCAATGGCTAAATTTATAAAAACTCATTATAAACAAGGAAATATATTCAAAAGAGCCAAACCTGAAGCAGTCATAGTGACTAGAGAAAAAGTAACTAATTCCTTGACAAAAATCCCTTCACAAGTATCAAGGCATCCCCTTGATGGGAAAATAATTTATTAATTTTAAGCAATTTCACTTCTGGGGGTTAATTTAATTTTTTATTAATTTTGGGCTTCAGTGCAAATAGTACCTATTTAATAACCACTAGATCTCACAATTTCACATAATATTCACACAAGAATGCCCAACTTGAAAGAGCCATGTAGTACTTTATGATAAAGGCAAGGGATGTTATGGGAATAAGTATGGGGGGTAAACTTGCCTGTGGAAAAAATCCAGTTTTTGAGTTACAGAAGGGCCCCACAAATACAGCACCCTCTCTTTGGTGTTCCACATTTATGTTGGCTTTCAAATAAGCCATTGTACGTTACAGTAGGTACTTTTACCACTTTTCTGCCATTATTGTACAACAGTTGCGTAAGGTAAGGGCAACCTGCTCCATATTTTAAGATAAGTATTTTATGTACAGCAGGGCCCCGCTTTACGGCGTTTCACTTTACGGCGTTCTGCTAATACGGTCATTTCAAATTATGACCAAAACTCGCTATACGGCTCCCCCCACCTGACTTTCTAATACGGTCACCGCGCCCCACCCTGTTTGTTTACATTCTTCATGAGCTCAGTAAGCACTAAGTCTCTCCATTTTGTCTGGAAACTCCAAAATTTCAAATGTTTTTAAAAGTTATTTCATATTTTATATATACTCTGATAATTATACTTATGTATACCTGTACTTAAATAAACTTACATACTGTGCTGGCATGCAGGTACACATTAAAATCAGTAAGTGTGTCTTATGTCTCCAGACGTCATATTAGTAATGATGATAATAATCATCGAGTCTCATTTAAATGTCGTGTATTACGTTAAATACACATTTTCATTAATCCATCTATGATATTTTTTCAAAATTATATAATAAACACGGTACATAACATAAAAAGATGATAAATACACCCCACAATAGAATAAACAAATATGAGATGTGGTAGCAGACGACTTGCACAAGTGACGTCATATTAGAAATTATAATAATAATAATCACCGAGTCTCATTAAATGTTGTATATTACGTTAATATACACATTTTCATTAATCCATCCATGATATTTTTTTCAAAATTATATAATAAACACGATACATAACATAAAAAGATGATAAATACACCCCACAATAGAATAAATAAACAAAATGTGAGATGTGGTAGCCAGATAACTTGTACAAGTGATGCCAAGAATAACATTTTCTCTAATCTAACATAAGAGAAAATGTGTTACTTGGGGTAACTGTAGAAAATTATTCCTTTCGTATGTATGTAAGTAAGTTTATTCAGGTATACACAAATACAGTTACATAGATTACCATACATAACAACATATGTGTAGAGAACCTAGGATAACCCAAAAAAGTCAGAGTGACTTATTTCCATTGCCTTCACTCAGAGCATCATTTCTTCTCAAAATGATGTTACATGAGAATTCAAATTCAAAGTTTATTCTCTATAAAGATTACAATGTTGAATTTACAGAATTTGGTTGTTGTGTGGTTTACATGTAGTTAAATAATGATTACAGTGTACCACTAGAACGCCTAGCATGGCTAGGCATTTCGGGCAGACTTAGTTTAATTCTTTATTTTAAAATATTACAAATTATGAGGTAAGTTGGTATTATGGCTAAGTGACTAAATACTAGTTTGTGAGTTTAGCAATGTGAATGCTTTTGTTTTGGCACAGTACATAGTTTCAGTATTGGAGTATCATAGGATTCATTATTTTAAGATTGAGATTAATATTTCTGTTTATGGTCAAATGGGTGAGTGAGTGTAAGTGTGAACCACCAGGTGGTATTCGTGTAGTTAGTTGATGGGGTTTATCAGGGAGATAAGATGTTTTCTAATGGTAGTTTTGAAGGTGATGAATGTGCCTGCAGTTCTAGAGTTCTCAGGTAGGGTGTTCCAGATTTTAGGCCTTTGACATACATTGAATTTTTTGTAAAGGTTTAGTCGGACATGGGGAATGTCGTAGAGATGTTTGTGTCTGGTGTTATGCCTGTGGGTTCTGTCACAACTATCAAGAAAGCGTTTTAGGTCAAGGTTGATATTGGAGTTTAAGGTCTGTAGATGTAGATTGCACAGTAGTAAGTGTGGATGTACTGAACAGGGAGTAAGTTTAGATCTATGAAGAGTGGGGGGGTGTGTTACCAGGGATGGGATTTAGTGATTATTCTTACTGCAGCTTTTTGTTGGGTTATTATTGGCTTTAGGTGTGTTGCTGCAGTTGATCCCCAAGCACAAATAGCATAGGTGAGGTATGGATAAATAAGTGAGTGGTATAGTGTGAGAAGGGCATTTTGCGGCACGTAGTATCGTATCTTGGAGAGGATCCCAACTGTTTTGGATACTTTTTTGGTTATGTGTTGGATATGGGTGCTGAAATTCAGGTTGTTGTCAAGGTATAGGCCTAGGAATTTGCCCTCATTATGTCTGGTAATTAGAGTGTTGTTGATCTTAATGTTAATTTGTGCATCTCCTGCTCTGCTACCAAACATAATACAGTAGGTTTTGTCAGTGTAAAGCGTAAGTTTATTGGCTGTCGTCCAAGTCGATATTTTGATCAGCTCCTCGTTAACAATGGTGTTGAGGGTGGCAAGATTAGGGTGAGAGATGACATAAGTCATGTCGTCAGCGAAGAGAATGGGTTTCAGGTGTTGGGATATGTTTGGAAGATCATTGATGTACATGAGGAAGAGCAAGGGACCAAGGACACTTCCCTGCGGAACTCCAGTATCAAGTGGCCGTGTTGTTGATGCTGTGTCTTTATTTGGGTTAACATATGTACCTATTACTAAGTAAGATTTGAAATAAGCAAGCGCATGGGGCCCCTTATACCGTAATGGGGTTTTTTTTTCCCCCCCCCCAGTTTTAAAGTTTTTTTGGTCAATAAAAATTCCCAAAAATTCCTTATTTTTCGTGTGAAAAACTAGCATTTTTAGATTGCAAAATTAGGCTTTTATTTTTCCTAAATCCAAAAATTTGGGGGGTTGGTAGTTTTGTGCTGTTATAAATAATATAGTCCCCTGTGCACGGGAAAAAAATTTTGGTTATTAATTTTTTTTGGTTTTTTTTTTTAAGTTTTAGGGTACCCCTTTATGAAAGGTGTTAACCCCGATTTCCCCCCTTAGTATTTTTGGGGAACTTTTTTAGTATTTTAAAAAAATTTTAGTCAAAAATGGGCCCCCGTTTAAAAATAAAGGGGGCATTAAAGATTCCCCTTTTTTTTAAGTGATTAAATTCTGATTTTTTAGGGCTATTATGGGTTAAAAGGTTTTTTTAAATTATTGGATCCCCCCAGGGGGATGGGGATTTTATTTGGGAATTAAATCCAGGTTAGAAAAATGTTTATCTTTTTTACTGTGTCAGTGGGATGTAGGGTGTTTATTAGGGTTTGTTAGGACAATATTCTTGGGTTTTTTTTGTTTGGGGCCCTAGAATTGGAGAGTGTTTTCCAGGGCTTTTTTTTTATTCCCCTCTAGTGTCGTGAATCTAGGATAGTATAGTTTTTTGGGGCTTTCTTTATTATTTTGGGTGAGAATGATGATGTGTTTAAGAATATCTTTGTGTATTAAGCCCGTCATATTGCTTTTTATATTTGGGGTTTCTTGTCAAAGGATTTCAGAAGGTCTGGTTAGCCATGGGAACGAAGCCCTTTTTTTTGTGTCTGTTTCGTTTTTATAGGACAATGTTTGTTGTATGTTAAAATAATTTGTTAGAAAAATGTCTGTCCA